CCCGGAATTTTTCTCGGGGGGGGACGGGTCCCAGCCCCCCCTTCCCCAAAAAAAGGGGGGGGGGGGGTCCGGTTTTTGGGAAAGGATTACCCACGGTTAGGGGGGGGGGGGGGGGGTGAACTCAGCCCTTCCCACGTTTTTTTGGGGGCCCGGGGAAAAGAACAAGAATAGAGGGGGGGTGTTTATTTATATTGGGGCTGGCGGTAGTCATTAGCCCTTGACCTTAGGTTTTCCCAAAAAGCGGGGGGGGACCTCCCGGGTTTTTCCCCGGCCCGGGTTTTCACTCCCCCAAGCGGGGGGGGGGGGGGGGGGGGGGGGGGCGTACTCATATTATGCATGTGATGCATGTGTTAGCTGTTAAATAGGTCATTGGTGGTATTGTGGGGGGGGGTCCACAGCATGACAGGGACTGCACATCAATCTATTAACCCACACCGCCGACAGACCTGGGACCTCGTTTGCTGATGCTACTATAAAACGGCCCAGACAGCATCGAAATATGTTTCGTCTTTCCAAATCGAACAGCGATCAAGAATAACCGCCTTCGAAAACAGCAAAATAGAAACACACAGCCAATGTTCCTTTTACTCCATCAAACCCAGGATCGACATCTCGACGAAAAAGAACAAAAACGCCAACACAGCTGAAGCAACACGACAGAAGGAAAACACACACCAAAAGCACGCAACCACGATTTACACCACGTTCAGCAATCACCTTCAACACGTCTTCCTCATCCACGTTCTTGAAGGTGCTAACGTTGATTATCGCGGACCCCTCCTTTAGCCAAGAGGCCGACAGCTTGTATGCCTTGGACGGCACTCCCTGTGGCCGCAGACACAATCCGCGTCTAAATCAACGATTGAAATCCTTTGCACGTTGTACTACCGCATTTGGAGGATTCTCTCTGGGTCTATACAGTAATGTTGAAACCAGGATATAGGCATCTTCCTATTGTAGTGGTAGTGACGCACGTACAACCAGTAGAGACCCGAAGCCCTACGAACGATGTTCTCGGGGTCTGAAGTTGATTACAAAGAAACATTATCCGCCTGCCGTGACCAGCCGGAGGGTGAAAGGGTGTCCCCGAGCTACACATTGGCAGCACCGTTGCCGCGTTGTCACAAGACAGGCAGCCTACACACTGGCAGACATTCTTGGTGTTGAGCCTCATGTCTAATGGCGGTGATGGCGGTGGTGGTGCCACTCTTTGACGCCTCTCGTGTCTCATACTTGTTGTACATAAATCGAAATCAACAACATCCACGCTCCCAGAAACAAAACCACCAGGACACCACCACCATAAACACGGTCCAAGTCGACATACAGCAGTATGTGTCCCGCTGTGGCTCCGGGTGACTAGTGTTGGTGGCCGGTAGATAGTCCCGGTCAAACATCTGGGAACGAGTGCCCACACCTTGTCACAACCTGTGTATCCCTGTTCTGAATAGTGAAGGTGTCCGGAGTAGTGCCGGTTAAAGCTCTCGGAACGAGTGTCCAACCCCATACAAAAAACCTCAATATCTCTGTTATGAATAGTGCTCATGTCTGGAATAGTTAATAAGTCCGGTGTAGTGCCGGTCAAATCTGCGCATGGCACGAGTATCCACCCCAAAAACAAAAACCTATATACCTCTGAATCGTGCAGGTACCCGGGGTCATGCCGGTCACCCTACACCGGAACAACAAATCGGGACACTTACCCGCCGCCCGCCCAAAGCACTACCAGGAAACCATCTACATACCGTGACAACGACGTCGCTCTGCTTCACGGCCTCCTCCGGCGTAGCCTCCGTCTTGCGCAACGCCCCCCTCTTGAACACGAAGATGGAGTCGACGTCGATCGAGTAGATCGTCGCTCCGTCATTGGCCAGCATCGCGGCCAGCGGGCGGCCCACGATCTCTGAACGGTTGATGATCGTCACCGTCTTGCCTGCGTATTGTTTTTTTTTCGGGGGGCAAGGGAGGTCGAATTTGGCTGGGCGTCTCCTGGAAATGGGTTAAAAAAACTACTAATGTTTTTCTTCGTCATGTGTGTTACGTTGGTGGCCTGCGGGTGGAGTCGATTTTTCTGTCGATCAGTGCGTCCATGTCCTGTGAACCGGATGACAAGTGTTCGGTTTCGTGGTACGGTTGAGTGGTACGGTTGAGTGGTATGCCAAGGATGGGTACCGCTCCTGCCTGGCCATGCTGCTACACTGCATCACTCCTGATCGGACAGGGCCCATCTTCAACATCTCTACCCCCAAGCACAACAGTCCAAAGAAGCCTACACACACATACGCCATGTTGAACGACAATTTTTCAATTTGGGTCAGGGACTCTACAGTAGTGGCGGGCGGCCTGCACATCTTACCATACTTTGAAGCCAATCCTGTGTGCACAGACTGCGGCCCTCTGAAGTACATGCGAGTGATTTCCGCCTGCTCCAGTACGATCCAATTTCTGACCAACCAAAACTGATTCCGTTTCTTGCCACACCGTACGTACCATATTCCAGCTCCATCGAAACCCCCTCGAGTTATGCGTGCATCATTTCGACTGCCTCATAATCACGCACAAGACCCCCCCTCCGTCATCATTGGGGAGGAGGCTGGGGGGTGGTGTAGATCGATCGATGAACGCATCGCAGGAGGTCTTAAGTGAAACCTTACCAGCCCAGTCCCTACGGCAAGGAAACGAGATTGAGTTACATCAGGGCAAAGACTAACGTCTTGTCCCAACGGTGTTGACATCATAGCCATTGGTCGGAACAAACCCATGGGAAAACAAACAAACACGTACGGCCCTCCCGCGCCCCCCATCATCAGGCTCGAGGCTGCCTATCCACACTCAGAGCGCAACGGAGAGCGTAGAACTACGCTTCTTACTTTGGTTGCGCTCTGAAATAGAAGCCTGTTTTCAAAAAAAACTTCGAAGGCTAATGGGAGTATGTCGCAGAGACAGCTAGCTTACCCTGAAGGCGGTCTCCCACGGGTAGGCTCTCGTCGTAGACGCCCACGTGCTCCATTATCTTAACCACGGCAAGGGGGGTGCACGGCAGGATGCACTTCTTCGTCTTGGCCTCATCGACAAACCTGAGTATTTTGGTCATGTGGCCAAGCGTATGTCTTTGTCGCAAATTATTCGTTCGCGTTAGCTTCCGGACAAGTACCGGCAGCGAAGGCGTGGCTCGGGTGCTACAGCAGTGTCATTATTCGGCAAACAACAAGCTGCTTCGCGATATATGGCATTATTGTCGTAGAAGCAACCGACCTGTTCGGCTGTAAAACACAAGAACGACCCAAAAACACACGCAAGACAGAAATGACGCCCCTTCGCGGGGTCCCAGATCATGGTCTTTAGAAGAATGTAATGTTCTCAACCGCGCCGAGACTACAGTCTTGTCATTACACCCGATTGGCGCTGTCGATGCCACAAACAAACACATACCTACGCACAACGGAAAGGGACGCGGGCGCTGAAGGTTGCATCGCTTGCATGGGGGACCATCATCCGCCATGGTGGCGACGTCAAACGTGTACAACTTACCTGACGTTGTGGTAGAGGTTTCTCCGGTACGTGTTGGACAGTCCCTCGACGTCCTTGCGGATGGACACCGTGTCCCTCAGGTAGTCGTCCATGCTCCCGCCGAAAAACGACGGGAATGCTCCAAACACGGGGTAGTAGATCATCACTCCTGAGGAGTTAGAAAGACGCCCGCGGTAATGGTACCGAACGAGCCACGAAATGAGAAACGTCGAGGCTTAGTTTCTCAGTATAGTTTTTAGTGTAGGATCCACAGCTGAATCGTGTTTCTTAGCCTGGTATTTTCGTGTTTTCCGTGAAAGTTAGGGTCTCTGTTCCTTATCGAGATGTTTCTCTACTGCGGGCCCGGTATGTATGCGCACGCACATGGTCACAGTATGCAAGGAGGAGAGAAAGCAGACACATGTTCATGCCGAAAAGCTGCACAAAAGGACACAAGCCGGAACAATCCAAAATCCGGAGTTTGTAGTAGAATAGCACTCCCATGTCTTAGAGAACATCACACCCGCACCTTCGAGCTTCAACTCGGACTATCATTCGTGCGGCGAGTGAGAACGACTTCAATCAGGAAAAAAAATGGTACAAACTTGACGGTTTGGACGTACCGTGTACCTCCGGGTCGCCGTTGCATTCTTCAAGACGCGCCTCGAGTTCCTCGGGATCGCACTCCCTCACCTGCACGTGACGTCATGATCTTCGTGATGATCGTCGTACATTGACAAGCACTCGACCAAACTGTTGCAGGGACAAGCACTCGATACAACCGCTGTTGCTACAACAAGCACTCAATCGACAAAGAAGCCCTTCAAGCTGCTGCCGTCGCGGCCTCTGCTCTAAATAACGAGTCTGGCCGTTACACTGATAGAGCGTGGCCGCCACATACGACAGAAATGTCCAGCATCTTCTCGTCCGAAAATTACCCAAAGGGGAGGCATCTCTGTATGTTGCTCGGGGACGGGTAGAAACAAAGACAGGTGATGCCACACCACAATGATCTCATCGGCGACATATCCTGGACTCTTCAAACCTGCGGACGGACATGAAACTTGCGTGGACTGTGAAAGAACGAGGCAAAACGCAAACACCTCTTGGAGGACAAACTTTTGTGCCATGCCCACCCGTAGGACCCCAATCTGGGCACGTTTACATTTACACCGTCGGCAGCCGGGCGGGGTGCTTATCAGTTGCCCCGCACATGGAGAAGAAAACAACCAACCAAAACAGCACCGCCTGAGCTGAGCAAGGAGTTTCCGCGGCGAAAGGGACTGAGTATACCGTACGTTGCTCAAGATGCCACACCCCCCGGGCCGGTTGCCAAAGCTCGTGGTTGCTCTGTAGCACAACTGCTGTCTGTGCCGAAAGTTGCGGCGTTGGAACCGTCTGTCTCGTTCGAGAGCCTTCCGACAACGTGTCATTTGATCTACGCATCCTCTTTGGACGAGGAGCACTCAAGGACTTTGAAAACGGTCCACGGGGTGTTGTATCATACGTCATCCACGTCATCCACGGTACTGTAAAGACGTTGCCCTCGATCTTTTCCTAGTGGAGGAAGAACGACTGGGGTGCCTTTGTGGACCTGCGTGCAAGCCATACCTCGTAGCGGATGCCATCCTTGATGCAAGCCCGGCCCGTCCACTCCGCGTATTTGCGGGCGGCGGGGTCGGTGTTGGCCAGGATGCCCACGAAGCGAGGGCCGACTCCACCGAGCTTGTCCTCGATGTATTTCCTCACCTGACAGAGAGAGAGACAGAGAGACAGAGAGAGAGAAATAGAGCGACAGAGAGATTGCAACATTCCATCACCAAACGTTAATGAGCAGACTAGACTATATTCTCCGCTTTGTGTCGGAGACGGCTGGTGAGAGCAACTCGTGTCATGTCATGTCTGTCAAAAATCAACGGGGCCGCAGCTTAAGGGCTTGAGCGAGACAGAGAACCTGCAACAAGACTACAAGGTCGGGACCACGCTGCAAGGGACTGTTGAGTTGGGGATGGAACGTCCGGGAAGCATCCATCACGTCCGTTTACACCCCCAGCGGTTGTCGGAAGCGATCTCTCGCACTGCTGTGCATTGAAAAAACTTCACGTCTCACTTCCTCGATGGGGCCATACACAGCAGTCTATGCTTCGGATATTCTTGTATAAATCTCCCGCTCACGAGGGAAGACCAGCGAAAGAAGCGGCGTGTGTGCTGATCTAATCCGCCCCACATGTTTCAAGAGTTGCTCTACACCGAGTTACAACCAAAAACAGAAAAAGCTAATGCATCTCAGACTCTTTTCTATAGACAGAGATGGATTCGTCGTGTCATCGTACGTACAAAGATAATACCAAAAAAAGTGAAAATACAGAGTAGCGATATTGTGCTTGTATTGTGTGGTAGGTAGGAGGCACCATGAATGTCATGCCCTGGTGGCCGCTTGCTGGAAGCCAAAGAAGTATGCTACAGCAAGCCAGCAAGTGCTGTTGGCGTACTTTGGCCAGAGCAAGTCAGAGGGCTGTCTGCGCTGCGCGCCGTGCATGAGGCCAACGGTTCGTTGTTTGTTATGCTCGGTATGTTGATGTTGTCCTTGTGGTAGATGTTAGTGGGTTCCTGTGTCTTCACAGCAGTAGATCTATGTACAGCAGTACATAGTACAATAGTGAGGCGTTCAAGACCGATCCTCACGATTGCCGGAACTTCTGCTGCTTCGCACAAACAAAACTACCTGATTGAAGGGTGTACGGCAACAGAGAGGGCATTTCGCCTTCCCCAGGAAAACCACAAACAGAAATTACACACGTCGTTATTTCACATCATACTTACCGCATTGTTTCTTCCCTTCTTTGTTCAATCCCTACCACAGGTGCTTGAAGAAGTACTATATAATGTGCGACGGAGACACGTTCGTCGGCTACGACGCCAACTACCAAAAAATCAGAGCTTCTTATATCCTCGACACCACCTCGCTGCGGTTGTAAATGGTAGGGATTGAACAAAAAAGAGAAGAAACGATGCGGTAAGTATTATGTGAAATGGCGCTGTGCTTTCGACTGAGGTTATATCTCGAACGGGTAGTCTTTCTGTGAGGGTATCCCTTATGTTTACTTAAGAAATTTGAACGACAGTTCGACATGTGTGTAGCAAAGAATCGAGGAGCAGCATTCCAAACGCCTGAAACGTCCTGTCGCCCCGCCCAAAACATGGCCGCTCTGCACTTTACTAGAATACCACATGTTCTCAACGACATGTACGTATATGTACAGCATCGACGTCACTCGCCACCACTTGCTTGTCCGATCTATACATGTACAATGCCTCGCACACAGCGGCAGCGGGAAGGGTAAGGCGTCGTGATCGTAAGTGTAACCCACCCGTTCTATTTCAAACCATCACACCTTGATGCTGGCTGTACGCAGCATGTGTAACACACCAAGCCGACGCAGCACGCCACCCTTGGATGAGAGCCCACAGAGCGTTTCAAACGGGCAAAGAGAGTCAAGATATGCCGGATACATGCGCACTGCTCCCCCCGGCTCTCTGCTCTAAGCCGGTATCCATCGAACATGACAGAGAAGCAGCGCCATGGCGGTCTACAGAGAGACTACATAGCAGCCGCGCGCTAGGAGCGTCTAAGATAAAGCAGCCCTCACCTCTTGTCGGAAGGGCTCTGCAACGATCCCGGCATCTACCTTCGAACCAGCAGCCGCCTTTTCCTCCTCCATGGTGGACATTTCTCTGCGGGCCTCTCAGAGCATGCGTTGCACAGCAGTCGTGGCTGGCCTGCCCGCAATTGCCTGGCCCAGGGGGCGCCGCGGCGGCAGAAAATATGCCCACCCCCCCACCACTTTTTTGGTGGATTTGGATTAGCATCAATAGTCTGTAGCATCGACAGCGGGACCGAACGACATGATGACGAACCATCCTGACCACATGCACGAACCATCCTTACTGAGCCTCTGGCGCACGTGTTGTATGTACCAACTTGCCAAAATTGCGAGGAGAGTATGTCAAACTAATGCTTTAGCGGGATCGAAACAGAAAGAAACAATGAGGCACTTCATGACTACAGCAGTACTACAGCAGGATCTACGGCAGTATGAACATGCAGTCATTACAGCACAAAGTATAGTCTAGGCGGTAGAACACGCAGTTATCACAGAACAAAGTATAGGCGGTAGTATGCATTGTAAGAGTGAGGATCCCACACCCCGGACGAAATTAACCGATCGAATAGTTGTCGGCGGTGTCCGCGGCAACAGGGATGTTGCGCAGCGTTCTCCAACATTTTTTGTCGTTGTTGAACTGTTTCAAGGAGACTAGAGGCCTGTATGGGGAGCCAATCAGATCAATGGTCTTGGGGTGAACAAGAAGAACAACGAGGATGAGTGAACTGTCCACCGTTCGTATCCCAATGAGGCACGGAATTCCATCGTGGTAAATCACCTCGTTTTAAATTTTGAAACAATGCTGCCTTCTGGTGCAAGGCGCCCACGATGAAATTGGACCGCCGCCCCAGCTCACTCACTCACTCACGTTCTTCAACACCAACGGCAACTAACGGCCGCGTGCTGGCCATGATGGTCAACTCTAACATGAAATACTACAAGTCAACTTCCCCTCTCTGTGTGATAAGGTCATTCCCCCTCTGTGTTGCAGGCGGCGCTTCCTCAACGGGGCTCACAGGGTGACAATGTCACAGGTCCGGTCACACTCATATCATCAACCCTCCCGGCAAATTCCCAACAGCTACGAGGTATGTGTATGTGTGCTAATATGACGAGTCGAGCTCTCGAGTAACGCCAGTTTTTATGAGAGATAAAATCTAGGCCAAGCTAAATTAGACCAAGGAAACTGTGAAGGGCACGCATACATCCAGAGTGCGCCATGTAGCATCAACAGGAAGGACACCGCTACTGTAGGCTAGTCCTAAAACCCGGAAAATTCCAAAAATAACAACTAACGCACCACTGAAAACCAGACGCAATTTACAATGACTCGATGATGAGCGCCCATCAACAACAAACATTAAAAAAACAACAACGAACCCCTCGCTTCGGTTCTCCCTTTCTCTAGCGTTGATAGTAGTCCCAACACCCACCACTTTTAAGTAAAACCGGTTTTCTGAAGCTCCAAAACTTGTCTCAACCCCGCGGCGCGTGGCACAAGACCACCGCCCTACAACAGGATAGGTCGTCCTAAGAAGCGATCATCAGAGGCAAGTATTTTGTCAAACGTATGTGATCTCTCGTGGACCGGACCGCGTCATGCCCTAAACATCGAGGATTGAACCCGAACGCTCCATTCAATCAGACACCTGTACAAACACTATGTCTTATAAACGCGCCATGCACTAATTTATTTTCCCGAGCATGAAAAATTGCCCTCTGAGATAAGTCAAACATGTATCGAAAGGCGTAGATTTTGCGCCGAAAACACTATTAGCACATGTTGTGTTCTTCTCTGTGATACTTCCACCCTTTTTTCGAATGGAGTGCATCGCCAGCCCGCCTCACTCTTCGGTTTCCCCCAGGACCATCCGACAAGCAAGGCCGATACCAGATGCTATCCTTCCAAATCCTAGGGAACGCGAAAGCCCGTACAGCTTTCTCTCCTCTGCAATACCATGATCGAGAATCGCGGCTCGCCCTCCCTCCCGTTCACTGTTACTTCCTCACTCTTGCCCCGAACACCCTGGAGACATTCATCCTCAGCAGTAACAGCCCACGACTTCTTGCCCAAGACGACCCCTAACGCTTCTCAGATACGTGGCTAGATGCACCGTCGGAAACTCCAAGGAAAAGTCTTGTGAAAAATGATAAACTGCAACAGGGTGCTCGATATGCGTCGCGTTAGCGTCTGAAACTGCTCGCAAACGCGCAATATCTCTCCACCCCTGGGGCGGGGAATGGAGAAAGTCGCTGTTTTCGTGCAAACAAGGTCGAGGTCGACGTGAATGAGGCGCACCGCCATAGGCCGACACGCGTCTGCTCAGTCTTTCTGCGCCACGTTGTCGTCGCACCCACCTCAAGGCTCGAAACCAACTTCTCCTCTCCCCATCGTTGAAAACAGAAAATAGTTGCCCCACTACCATCACAAATCTGTTATAGGTCCTCGAAAAGGGCAGAGCTGCTTGTCGCTATAACGCCAGCGTGTTCACCCCCCACGCCGACCCCCAACTGCGGCTCTCCTTGTTCCCCGAGGAGGTGGGATATCGGCACCCCTCGTGCCGAACGATCTCCATCTCTGCGGGGCTCCCTCCTATCCCCGCCAGGCCGAGCGCCTTCGCCTTCTGGAACATCTCCGACATCGCTCGCGGGGCCACCAGGGGCTCGCGGCTCAGGAAGTTGATGCCAACGAAGGCCCGCCTCCCCAGGATCTCCACGCACTGCAGCTGTATCGCTCGCTCGTACTGCCCCTCGATAGTCCTCCACAGTGCCACCACCTGTGTGTGTGTGCGTGTTTACCCGCCGTGAGGAACTTTGTTTCAGAACAGGATCGTTGAGACACCACAGCAGAACCAAAATCGCCGAAGAGCATAATTGACCTGTATCTGTGTGAGTCGTACAACGGGGAAAATAATGCCCATTTTCCGAAGCGGTGGGTTGATATAACCTTACGGGACGAAGTGAAAACCCAACCGCGGACACCGTCTTGATGCTGTACCCACCGTTCGTCCTCTTCATGTCATATGGTTACGCCGAACAAGCGGTGTTCTTTCCGAGAGAAAACTCACGCTAGTAGGGCAATGGTACGGGAAAATAATCGAATATGTCGTGTGCGAGCGGAAATTCAGTCCATCTAATAGCAAAAACACCAACACATGGGGAAAAAATCACAAGCAAACCTTTTCACGTTCAGGAGCAGCGTGGACATCCTCCACGGATTCAACCCCGCAAAGAACAAGCTTCGATTGCCCGAGGAGGTGCAACTACCACGAAAGCACCCCGCGAATACCCATCGATTCGGTACCTTGTTGTCCCACTTGTTGTAGAAGGCGTACTCTTTGAAGCTTCCCGGAGAGCTGCGGTCGATGACCTCGCGCATGTTAATGAGAAACGTCTCGCCCTCGTCGGCCTCGTAGGGGCACTTGGTGGTGAAGGCGTCCTTTATTCGGTCGTCCGTCCTCGTCATGTTGAACCGCGTGCACCCGCAGATCTTGATCTGGGTCCAATCGTGGTACGCTAGCTCGTACCTGTCGCGCGCAGAGCACCGCGTTCCGTGACAAGGGGGGGGGATTGGACGGTAAGGGTGATTTGGCGAGAATCCCGCGATCGTGCATTGGAGCCGCATACACCTATCTCTTTCTAGAAAGCTAGATAACGTCTGATCCAATTGTTTTATTACGCCAAGTCAGCAACGTAAATTGTGTGCTGCGGGGCTTGAGTACTGCCTGCAAGCGCAAGCTTCGAGCGTGGAGCATGAGGGAGAAGGGGAGAGAGAGAGAGAGAGAGAGAGAGAGAGAGAGAGAGAGAGAGAGAGAGAGAGAGAGGGTGCACAGCAGACATACAGAATCGGTTGAAGCAAACGGCAGATCACTGAGACCCCGCGGGAGGTAGGGGGGGGTACTGCTAACCAGACATGGCCGTCGCCTTCAGACCAAAGGGAAGGGAAATACGAACTAAGCGTGTGCGGAGACAAGCGACAACCCGACCGTTGTGTGTTTCTGCGAACGCCTCACACCCACCTCGGCATGTACACATTTCACATGGTCTTCACGAAAATGGAGGCGAAACCGTCGCAAGCGCAACCAGGGGAGAACGGAGGGGACTCGCCAGAGGCAGAGGCGGGAGAGACTCGGTGTAAGTACAAAAAAACTCCTCTTCCAACACTTAGACCCTGTGTAGCAACATGTCCGGGACACTACTGTCGACCGGTTCCTGCTTCCCCCTTGTCGGTCCAGACAAAACCGCATCCGCTCATTGGGAGAGGAGGTACAGTCCCGAGGGACGATCTCTCTAGCAAGGATTTTTGTAAAAGGCCCATGATCACTCACCATATGCCCATGTACTTGTCGATGTCGAAGTTGTCCACGGCTTTGTACGCGGGGCATTTCCCCTCCTTCTTGAAGTCCTCTGCAAAAAAACAAGCCCAAACGAACGCAAAAAATAGTGAAACATTGGCACAGTCATCAAACACAAAGAGGACGGAGTGAGAAAGTTGTGTTTGCTCTACATGTGGCGTACGAAGGTTCAAGCCCCTGCGGTGATGCTCTTCATATATCGTCGTTCCCACCATGTTCTCCAAACCGACCGCTTGAAGGAAAGGATATTTTACAACATTATCACAAGTCTATTGCGTTTTGTTTTGTGTGTTTTTCGTCGCGGAAGTCAAGCGTAGCCTTGGGTGATGGCCGGCTGCCACCGTCCGCCGACCGTCATAACTGAGAGCGATGTCCGTGATGGTGTCTTTCGCTCCAGCGGTGAAATTTGTGCCTCACAAGCCAAATTTCTTCCACAAAATATAAATTCCTTGGCGGCGACCCCCCGGACTGTGGGGGTCTCGGTATAAGTGACGCCTTGTTTAGCGACATGCCATATTTAGCGACCACCAAATCACGTGGCACCGCCGCACCACTGAAGTATAACTGCTATATAATTGTCTGTTCGGTTTAGTGACCAGCCCTGAATAGCTGCCACATTTGGTGCTTACATAATGTAGGGAACCGGGGCCCCCACTGCTGTAGTGAAGAAATCGAAATAGCTTGAACTCTCCCGTCAAATGAAACTGTGCCCTTTGTCAGTAGAGTTATTGAAATACGATATCAAGGTGCTCAATATATATATTTCTTATTAGATCACCATCTTCTTGCAGGGAACTCGGTGGTGAAAAGGCAATTTATTGGACTTGGGTACAGCTACATCACGCCCCCAGCAACGCACACATTGTTCAAATTGCAACAGCCTACCGATGTGATGTGTGAGCAGAGTCGTATGTCTTGAAAGCAGCAGCAAGCATCGACAAACGGCTCTAGAGGCATTATTTGACCGTTATGTAGATTCATATAACAGCAGCCTCTTTGCACAAAACTGCCGGGTCTGCTGGGTACGTCGGCGCGCCCCGCCGCCGTGCGCGCGATCGAGGCTATGCACAGAGCTTCAAGTATCGCGCGCCTTGAAGGCAGTCTACCTTGAGAACGACTCACACTCGATCTTGGCGTGATGCCACGGTTGTGTACGCTGGACCACTACTGCTGTAGAAACTGCGTGTGTGGTGTGGACAAAACGGAATCCAGCCTAAATGGTCGCTTGCGACTTTCGCTGCGTTTGAAGTGTTGTGGTGGGAGCACCGCATGGTACAAGCGTGTGTAATGACAAAGCAGCAGACAGCAGTTACGAACAGAGATAAAGCATCCTCACCGAAAAGAGCACCCGCCGGCTCCGACTTGTACGACATGGCCGCGGCCACGCCCACCCCGATGCCTACTGCATGGTCCCGCAGGAACCTTCCGCGACTTTCGCCATGGTCGCCGCTCATGCTATTCGGGGTGCTGCAGCTTGTGGTGTTATCGCCCGTTGCCCACTCTGCCTGTTGCTGCAGCCCCCCCGAGCCCCTGCTCCCGCGCCAGCTATTTCTCGTAGTCGACTCCGCACCGAACCTGCCCGTCAGGTCGGCTGGCTGGAGCGTACTCTCAGGGTTGAGCCGGACAGCTTTGGCCAAGACAGATCCCAACATCAACAAGAGCATCGCTCCGCCGCTCGCATGCACCACGTTCCTGCCCCAGCTCCTGCTTCTTCTGCAGCCAAGCTGACGACTGAACAAAGCGGTAGCCATCACTTCGCGCCAGAGACAAGTAAAAACGAAATCTTTTTGCTGTCGACGAAAGCGCGAGCGGCCCACGGACACCGTTGCCCCTTGCTAGCTGCTCTGGAAGAGAGCTCCTCTGCTCCTCTGCCGGCTTGCTTGAGAGAGTGCCATTTTGCGATTTGTTTGATTGGACGATTCCAACAGTCTCGCCCTGCCGCCAGCGGTACACCAGCGACTACAGCGTAGGTCACCAGGTTACCGAGTTCCCCAGATTCCACATCGCTTCCGCCGACGAGTGCCCGAGGACCAAGAGGAGGAAGGGGGAGTGTCACACTTATTGGTGAAGGTTGACCGATGGCTACTGACGGTGAGACGGATTGGGCAGTACCTGTTGAAGTGGGAAGATCAGAGTGCAGCGCACAGCAAGAGGGCGCGCAGCCAAAGCAGGAACAGGAGGAGGGCGCTGCCGGTGCGTACTGTAGGTTGTAGACAAGCTATGCTACAGCAGTAGTGCACATCCATGTGTCGTATGATTTCCACCCCCTTCGCCGCGTCAACGGCCCTTCCACGACTCCTCTCACTAGCATGGTTTGTTTGTTTGTTTCCGAGCATGCTGACGGGGGCAACCGAGTTTGTTGGCTCGCCTTCCATACATGCGTACCGAAACAGTCGGAGAGATGGCACCCCCCTCCGCACCAGTACTATTTCAAAGGAACCCCCTCCTCGCCGCTGATCTGTAACTGCCCACCGGCCACCCCGCGAGTAGCCCCTCACCCCTTCGTGAGTTCTTGTCTTCTTGCAGCTGCCGCGTTTTGGGGCTCTGTTCTTATCGGTAAGCACATTCAATTGTTACACCACGAAGGCAGGTTCTTGTTCTTAACACCGTCGGGACTGAGCACGTGTTCTTATGGCCAATTCTTTGATTTTGATTTTTTTCGAGGCCGCATATCTTGACTGCTAAATTCATAAGTGCGAGTGCAATCTGTATATTTTCTCATCATTATGTAGTACCAGAAGCACTACTGCTCGTGGAATGCACACATGTCCAAGGTAGCGGAAAAGGGCAAAGCAAGAGCAGGGAAGCTGCACCCAATACTCGCAAACCGGCACCTCGATACACGCATCAAATTGGCGGTTTTGAAGAGCGTAATCGTACCGCCGCTAGAGTACGCCGGAGAAGTATGGGGAGTAAATAAGAAGGTAGTGAAAGACCTCGAGGCGGCGCAGATGAAAGCAGCGAAAATCATCCTAGGATGCTCCAAGCGCACAAGTAATGCAGCCGTAAGGGAAGAATTGGGGGTCCAATCCCTACGGTCGGGAAGAGACGCAAGGAAGCTGACATGGCAGTATCGCATGTGCGGGATGGGAGAGGAGAGGTTGCCGAGAATAGCGTGTTCTTGTTCTCTGTCGTCATGCTGATTTCTTCAACTCATCCCGCCTCTTGCGACCCTTTCGTTCATTTGCCGCGGCAGGGAGAACGCCGCCTGCTTCCCTCGCAAACTTTAACATATGATACAACAATGGGCAGCCTTTGTTCTGTCTGGACTTGGTTGTGGCACCTTTATCCGGTCCGGCGACTTTAGTTTCACCCCGGCCAAACTGTCTGATGTGGCTCAATACCAACAGTTTAACTTCCTTCCTGGGGATAGCGCATCGGTCAGGGACCTGGCCACGGAAGTGTCCATCGCGTTGCCGGCGGTCGTCACCATCCAGGAGGCGGTGGACGTGGCCAACACCTCCCGTCCGGATCTTCGAGATCTGGCCGACCGTTTCCTCGCTAGGATGCGCACGGCCAACGCCCACGCCACTGCTCCCGTGGTGTACCCTGGCTGCAGCGGCCCGTCTTCGGAGGCCTCCTGTGGGTTCCAGCAGCCAGCGCCAGGTCGTGTCAAGAAGGCACAACCGTCACGTTCGAGTCGGGAGAGTGGTCCTGGTAGCTCGGGAGAGGAGTCTGGCTGGAGCTCGGCCGAAGCATCGCGGCGACCCCCGGAGCCCTCGTCTTCTTCGGTGGGAGGGAGCCGTGAGAGGAAGGTGGCAAAGCGTAGCGGGGATGGCGCCCGTGGCTCCAAGGGCAAGAGCGGGACCGGGTCGGGCTCGGACACCAGCTTGTCTCGCAAGCCGGGCCGCCAAAGGCATGTAGTTCCGTCCCTTATGGACGCGACTTCGGGTGCTCGTTTCTTTTTGCGTGATGATTTTGTTCCTCCGGCTTCGCCCCCCCCCGTTTCTTCGGAAACTGCTGCACCCCCCGTTTTTTCTACCGCTCACCATGCTGTAGATTCAGGAATCGTGCAGAACCCTGGGTTTTCGCATCCAACCCCCCCCTCGGCATTTGTACCACCTGTGCCGGGTGTTCCGCATGTTGTGTTGTCTTCGGACCATGCTCCCCCTGCTGCTTCGGTAGCTGCTGTCACACCACCCCTTGTCATTGATGATCGTGTTTTGCCACTTTCTTCGAACATCGCACATGCTCGTCAAGCCACGATTGATGCGACCGATGCTAATGCACGTGCGGCTCATGTCACTACAGTGAAACGCGCGTACATCACCTTCAACTTGAAAAAAGTCGAGAGTGTCGCTACCATGCCCTTTCCTGCAACTCTGTCGCCGGGAGATGGCTATCAGCAGCATCTTCGCACAACACGTACGGCTTTATCCGATATTTTGTTGTTGTGTGATGAGCAGAGTGATGGGTTGCACGGTACCGATTTCGTGCGTGGGTGGGAACGACCCCTCGAAAAGAAACTTTTGAGTGCGATCACCCCTGACAAGCCCTCTACTGCCGATCTCGTCCTCTCCATCACTGATTACTTTCAGCAGGTGAAGAGAAGCTTGGACGGCGGCGCCACTGGACCAGAAGCTTTTCAGTTGCTGTTGCGTCATCTTGCAGAGCAATTTGATGTCGGCGACCGTCAAGAGTCGTTTTTGCGGCTACAACAATTTGTCGTAGCAGATGGTACTTCTTCCGCGGATTACCTTCGTGCTTTCCGTTTGTTGGTTTCGTCTGTGACTGGCTCTGAGCGTACTCTGGCTCCTAGTGTATCCATGGTTCTAGAAATAGTGCGGCATTCGGTTTGCAAGCAGTTTCCGAGTTTGTCTCCGATTTTGTACCCGGGTGCTCTGGCCACGGCCGTCACTCCCTTTGTGTCGATTGCGGATATGTGGGAGGCGTTCGCGCCTCTAGCGACAAATAAAACCCCGGCTATTGGCGGTTCATATTATTTTTCGTTGTCTTCGACGCGTGGCTCCTTGCAGCCTCGACGGTCCCAACACCGCGCTCCCGCGCCTTCGGGCCAGCGGGCACCAGGTTCCGCTCAGAACCCCGTAGTTTTACCGGTACAATCGCACGATGCCGACCCTTTCACACGCAACTATATTTCTTGACCTGCCTCGCAAGCCGATTGGTCTGATGGATACGCTCTCACTTCTAGTTTTCGTAGCATGGATGATCCTTTTTTGTGGACTCCTTTGTTGATACAAGAGGCTCGCTCTCAAGCCTTCCGCGAAAACAGGAATCGCTGTCTGAACTGCTCGGGTGAAGACCATTCCATGAAGCAATGCGTTGCACCGTTCACGAATACTAGTGGGTTGTTGAACCCCGAGTTGGGCTTGGGCCTCCTCAATGACGATCCTTCTCAAAGACGATTCTGCTGCTTTTAAACGTTGGCAAGGCCGTATGCGGTCTTTTCGCCGCAAAAGTGCGGACAACCGCCAAAACCATCAGGGTAGACGCCACCAGCGCTCTTCCTGTTCGTCCTCTCAGCGTCGAAACCACGCTGGGAATCGCCGTTCCGACGGTAGTAGTTCCCCTCACGCTCATCAGACACAATCGCACAACAGTGGGCATGCCCCGGGAAATTCTGCGGGTACCTTTCACTCTCCGCAACACCCTTCGGTCAACACCCACCACACTGACCACACTGGTGCTCGGTCCCTCTATCAACCACAAACACATGTACACGCCGGTCCTTCGTCTGGCATCATGGTTTCGACCAATCACAATGCCCGTCAACCTGGCAACTTCCAAAATGGTGGTCGTTCTCGCAGCGGATGACTCATCGGCGGTGGTTCGCCTACTTCCCTCGGACCGCCTTCAGCATCTTCGGGGACTTCGTCTCGTTCATCACAAGACGCTCGTGTGTCACGCTTTGTTGTCCCTAATACTTCGGTTTTATGCAACAACGACAAAACTTCGGTATCTGTCGCGCCGTCACACACTTTTTTCCTCTAGCACTTCGGTCCTACGCAACGATAACCGCACTTCGGTGAATGTTATTCTTTCTGGTACTTCGGTGCCGCACAATAACAACCATACAACCGTAGGACGTTCGGGGCCATTGAGTACCGCTCGTTTGTCGGGCACAGCTCGTTCGCCCCCCCCGTCGTCTGCAGATCAGACCGGCCGTAGCCATGTGCGCTTTGGACGATTGAAGAGGAATCGCCTGAATTGGTTACCTCGGGTGAATCTTCGGATACGCTCAACTCGTCGGTGCTCGCTTCCGCTGAGGGTTCGCCCTCGATTGTTGCACCGGTAGCTAACTTCACTGGTTCCTACCGGCAAGTTGCAGGGTCAAATTCGCCTGGCTTCGAATCACCATCAGATTCCGCCACGAGATATTTCGACCATGGATCGTCTTCGAGCGCTCCATCCCTTCCGACGCACGCTCGCCCCACGGCGCCCAATACCAGGCCGCCGCGACCGACGTCGACAGTGTTGACACCACCGCTTCGCGAGGACCCTCCCGGAGTGACCTCCGAGCAGCCGGCGGTCTCGCGTACCTTGTCAGGGAGGAATGGCCGGGAGCACCACGCCCGTTTTGGTTCTTTAACCGCCCCGGCCTTGGCTGCCGTCCCTAGCGAAAGCGGCCTGTTGAATGACACCTTACGAGGCGTTTCTTCAGGTTTAGAATTGGGGCGCACCCAGCGTGATGTCGCTGGCCCAATCATTGCGAAAGATCCGGCTCCGGTCGATTCTTCGCCGGTCTCTGACGTACCCGAGACTGTCCCCATGGACGTCCATGCCGTAAATTACAATGCGGGCGTGTCGGCTGCCTCCGCTTCGGCTACACCAGCTTCGGCTACCACCTCAGCTTCGACTGACCGCACTCCAG